TAAATGTGACAAGACGTAATAGAAAACAGTTAGATATTAACACACCAAAAAGTTGCAGCTTTCTTCCAGAAATCTGTTTTCTAGGAAATACGCAATGTGCAATGGAAGGTTAGCCAGGTCAGTCCTTTCCTAAGCTTCTCATAACTGTCCTTGGTTTTTCAGCCTTGTGTGAAGCATATAGATGTGTTCCAACTCAGTTCAGTGTTTTAAATGAAAGCTATTTCAGGGGTTTGTTTGTCCTTAACACTGGTAAATAGGTTGAGCTTTTAATCATACTGCTGAAGAATGAGGCATGCCAAATTTTAAAAGGCAGCACAAAATTTCACCCTGCTCATTTATCTGGCTCCTTTAAATGTAGTTGTCAGTCTTCCTTGCAGAAAAATACCCAGACTGGGTGAGGCATGTGATTTTAACAAAGTGGAGTCTTAAAAATCACTGTGATTCTGAACTTCAAAATCTAGATATCAGGTTATCATAAAATATTTTATTTTGTCTGAACCTTTGAAAATTTCTAGTGGTTCCTGCATTGTTGGGCCCAGCACATGAGAAGCCTTGCTCTGTGACACAGCTCTGACATCTGCACCTGAAACTGGAAGGTTCTAATGGATGTACAAAGTCAGAGATCTCTGTTTTAAATATGGTGTACATACCAGCCATGGATGTTGATGTACACACATGCTCTCAACACCTTAAGAGCCCTTTAAGCCTTTTGGGTTTTGTTTTTCTTTACTGAAAGTAATGATTTCCACCTTACCTTTCTTTCTGTAGCTAACAGGGGTGCAGATTAAATACTGGCCTTTTCTGCAGACTTTTTTATTCTTGCTTTGCTATACATTTCCTACCACACAGTGTTTAGATGCATACCATAGCCTCAGTGATAAGATAAAGGTTCAAAGTCATATCAATGTTGTAAAGGGAAAGCATATCCACAAAGTTTCAAATTGTTTTATCTGTACCACCTTCCTGTGGTAATTGCAGAAATTTTATATTAAGATCTATTTTAGTTGAAAGGGAAAATATTCTCTTCAACCTGTTTAGCCTGCCCACATTTTTATTATTTGTGGTGTCTGTAGTGTCTAATCAAAAATTATATGGCTTTTTTGCCTGGTGCTTATTTGATAGAGAATCACTATTAATCTAGATGCTGAATCCATATGTTGTTAGCATTGCTTTCACAAAATATCCATATCCTACACTGACAAGTAATGGAAACTGTAGTAATCAGTGGGATTCTAATGAGCAAAATAAGTTCTTCTAATTATCTCATAAACCTGCTTTTATGACTGGAAGTACAAAAAATTATTGCTTGAAAGTAGTGTTATCTTAAACCACTGGAGAAATTGAAGAGACTTTATTTCCATACATCAGATTGCCCATGTATCCCAAGAGTAAGGTTCTCCATAGGTAGGAAGAAATGCAAATTATTCTCAGTGTAGCCAAAGAAAGCATCACACTTCTGCCCGTCCTTGACTGTTTGAAGTAAATAGCTTGAATCTTGCCTCATTTACACAAGGGTGATTGGAAGTGTATCTTAAAAATCAGCATAATGAAAATTAAATTGAAATTCTCCATGAGGATTTCCACTTAAAATTTTCCATTTATAAGTGTCAAAAAAATGGTTGAATTGTTATTTGGTTGTGTAGTATACAGCACTTCTAATGGAGCAAAGATATCAAAATCAACACCAAGATATCCCCATTCCCATGCCTCTGCTTTAATTAAGTCACACTCAACATATAGTTTGTAGTACCTGTGCATGCTATTATTATAAAATAATAAAGCCTGTACATATAATGACTATTGTTGGTAATGAGTACTTGATACTTGTATTCCAACAGACCAGGACTGCTTAGGTAATGCCAGAACTACAATAGCAACCTTAAAATTATACAAGCAAACCTTTTCAGAAGTCACTAGTGATTTTAAATAGAATCAAACTATGAAAAACATCTGTCTTGAAAGTACCTCAAAACTGCTGGGTCACTGCACTTGAAAATCAGCCCTTTTTTAAACTTGCTCACCGGTCATCAAAACTGGAGATTTCCAGTGATTTCTAGAATGGTTTCAGGAGTGTCGTGGGAAAAGAGGTGCTCTGGATAAGGTGAATAATTTTTCTAATTGTGGGGGAGGATTGCTATGAACATCTAACCTGCATTTTCAATCTCACGTATGCTTTGGATTAGCAAAATTGGATTAAAATTGCATTCTCTAGCTTATCAATAATATAATGAACTACAAAATCTTATCTATTTTTTTTATTTACTATAGTTTTATAGTTTTGAGCAAACTTTCTCAGGTTTCTCTGTTTCTGAGAAGGCACGAGGAACAAGTTTTTGTTAACCAATAGTGTGCATTATGTCAGAGGCGTTGGCGAGAGGAAGATGACTTTTTTATATGGGAGACTGAATGTATGAGAACATTTTTCTTAGTGAAAAGAAGGAACCTACTGTCAGTAATATTGATCAAGCTGATAGTCACTAGGCAACAAGTGCCAGACGAAATTTATATGGAAAATACTGGATGTCAGAAAAGTGATGTTGTTATGGAAATTATTTGTTATCAGCTAAGGGGAATCTTAAAGGAGGAAAGCAATTGACAGTCTAATATAAGGCGTGTTTCAGGTTTTGGAGTAAAGTCTTCTGAGAATATAGCTGCTAAGTCTGTCACTAAGTAATTGTGCATATTTGACGGGCATCAGGCTTCAAGCTTATAAAGGGATACTGATTCGTTGCTTCACATTCTTCATTGATGGAGAATAAATTTGTACAGGATTCAGCTATTTACAAAACTTAACTGCTGGAGGGATTTTATAGTTACTTTTACGAAATTTAGGCCTTTGGAGTGTATTGGTTGATTAATATTCTATATATTGCCAAATTGTTTGTTTTACTAAACAATGCAACCTGAAAGCTGTCTTCTCCTTTAACATTAAAATCTATTCCCTAAAATAATAATCAGGAGTATATCTCTGCAACCTCAACTAAAATGCATAGTTGGGTGCAACCTCAACTGAAATGCAAATGCGAAGGGTGAGAAGTAGCCTGTTACTGGCGTTTTACACGCTGGCAAAGGACTATGCATCTTGCGCAGACTCAGATCACTGACGCCTCTCAATGCTGCTGTAATATTATATATGAATGTGTATTCTATATGAAACAGTGAAATATTTGTGACCTTTGGGCATTATTGTAAGGAAAGACCTTAATTTCCACAGCTGTATCCTGAAGTCATTTGTACCAGAGAGAACATTTTGGGCAAGTGTGAGCGAGTGATGGTTTTTATAGCACCAAGGGATTCACAGTTGTAAAGACTTCTTTGGTCATCTGTATCATAAAAGAAATGCTGCTTTACCCTGTGTACTGTTACCAAATGTTTACAGTTCCGCTGACTGGGTATCTGTAGTATTTTCACTGTGTTTAATGTCTTGTAAGACTCTGAACTGTATGTAATATTTGATTTTGAAAGATAAATGATATCAAGGAATTGATTATCCTAATTCAGGGACACTTTGTTCCTCTCTATGTAAAGATTTAATTAATTTTTAATTATTTTTTAATTATTTATTTTTATTATTTTTACCATCTTGTTAAGAATTTATGATATCTTGTGGTTCTTTTACTACCCTTGGTAAGAAGGTCATGCTGCTGCTAGTGGTTGCAAATTGTTTTTAATGTGTATTGGACCTTGTCCAATAATCTTGATCACTCCCCAGGTATGTGGGGATATACTTTTACTAGTGTATTGGGTTCTACTACCAAAAAGTCCTTTCATTGTCCTTCCTTATTTTTCCATGCTATGTTTAAAATTATCTTTAGATAATAAACAGCATGATTGTTATCTTTTGTAGACCTTTGCACAGTGTTTGTATACTTGTTGGAACTTTCAAGTGTTTTGGCACTGTTGCAGGATGATGTAGAATTTTTTACCCACTATTATTTAGAAGTGGTTATAATCATGAGATCTTGGTTATCCATGGGTCGATTGTCCAAGTTGTAGGTTAAGTATTTGTTGTTATTTCTAGCCATTCCCAGGCTGCAGCAAAACCTGCAGCCACTCTAGAAAGCATCTGCATTTGATGTGTTGTGAATTGTGGTATAATTTCATGAAGCACAACTTTGCCTGCTAGTGCTTAGCTGCTTCTGCTTTCCGAACTTTCCAAGTATTTGAAGTTTAAATATTTCTGTGAATTATACCTTAATCTTCTTATATTTTTGAATAACTTTTCATTTTATACAAACTGGTATTCTTCTCCATTATGTCTCATGTTCTTAATAGGTGAGCACTAACTATATTTCAGTGCACTGATTTACGTTTTTAAATACTTCGTCTTGTATAATGTTGTTTCAAGTGAAAAGTGCCTCATGATCATTAAATTTATCAGTTATGAGTGGTATTCCAACACAGAAATCCTAAGTTTCCAGTTCAAGAAGCTTCTCAAAACTCAGGGTTAAATGCATAAATGTACTGACAAATTATGTTTTTTATAATAAAAGTTAATACAAAATTATTCAGCTTGGGTGGGCAGATCAGCAGGCCTGGTTAGAGGATATTTGGTTGGTTTTTACTCTTTCATCAATATGAGGTGAAAATAACTTCTATGACATCAGTAACTTTATCCTCCCATAGTTTGTGAGTGGTAATAGTGTATGCGTATCAAGTCTTCATAATAAAGTTTTAAGAATAATTCCATTTTACTAGTTACATGGGAAAAAGCCTGTGGTTGTGTTAACTGGGATTGTTTTCCTTGTTTAGCATTTACGTACTTAAAATTCAAAGCAAAATAATACCATGTCTGTGCTTTTGAAGTCAGTTGCTGAAGAAATGCTAGAGCTGATGCCTGTCTCCAAAATAGCCAGTTTTCTGGTATCTCACCTGTTAAAGCCTGTTTATCTTACTTGCAGAAGGAATACTTAAATTGGAAGTTAATTACTGTCAAGTGCAGTAAGTAATAGGGATGGTATTAGCAAAAGAACCTCATATTGAATTCTTTTGTGTTACAGGAGTACAAACGCAAGTTAGCCAGAGTGTCCCAAGTACGGAAAGAACTCAGGTCAAGGATCCAGAACCTGCCTGATCTCTCACGACTTCCCAACGTCACAGGCAGCCATGTACACCTACCGTTTGCAGGAGACATCTACAGTGATGACTGATTACAAGAACATCCTTCCATAACCTCTGCTTTTCTGTGAAATGAGGGGTAGGCCAGACTGATCGGTACTCTTGTAGTATTATTTTTGTATATTGTTGGAGAGTGTCAGTAAAAATACTTTAATAATTTATAAAAAATTGTTTAAAAAGTTGATTTGTTTACTATTTTATTGGCGAGTGAACATAAGGGTACATTTATAAAAGTGGCATATGGGTCTGTTACACTGAAGAATTAATAATTATCTTATCTTTTGTAAAGATTTTAGTTGAGTGCCCTGTAAAAAAACATGCTAAGATTTTTCTTATGTACCCTGTATTTAATGTAGATCAACATATAATCAAAACATAATTCTAACTTGAGACGTTTCCGTTGCTAGTGGGGGAGTGAAATGTGGAAATCACAGGCTTAGGTTTGCAAAAAGGTCAATGCAATTTAATGCAAAGTTAAAAGTGATCTTACTGTCCATTACATTTAAATTACCCACTCCCAAAAAAAGAAAGTTATTTTGAGGTAAATGTTAATAACCAATTTTCTGTTGGAAAACATAAGTCATGTTACACTGAGAAGATCTTTAAATGACTCAAAATACTGCAATATTTTTGTATCATTTAAAAGTCATTGTGTAGAAACTATACAATTGACCAGTTTAATTATGTTTCAAAATTGTAACTTTTTACAGCTACTTAGTTTCTAAATCGAGGGACCATTCATTTGTACTCTAATCTCTTTCTAGAACATCTGTCTCCATCTAAAAAGGTTAATCCCAGAAATGTGAAGCTATTTTACAGCTTTAATTAAATGGAAAGGTCATTCTCTAAACTGTCTCAATTGCTAAATGCCCATTATTAATGTTTGGCAATGCTACGTACCATCCATACATGAAGCAAGATGATGATACAGTTGTGCTGTACATCCTCTTCCACTGAGAAACCCTGGAGGCCAGCATGGGCTACCAGCTGGACCCACCCCAGCGAAGATTTCTAGATCTCGATTGTCTGTTTCTCACACAACAGGAGGAGACAGTTCAGACCTGTGTAGAATTCAAACAGCATAAAATTATTGCCAAGTTAAAAATCTCCTCTGCATGGCACAAATATGGTGTTTGTCTATGAACAGCTGAATTTGTGAAGAATCCTTGTTAGCGTACTATGCATCAGCTTTTAAAGTCACTTAAAAACTTAAAGATACAGACGGGCATCCAGCAGATTGCTGGAAAGTTTGGGCTTTTTGATCAATCGGAATGAGGCATGTAATTGTTGAGGAATGATTTGAAAAATGCCTATCTGTACCTTGGGCATTTGTACCAACTTTCTAATTTCCTCTGTCTCCACAGTAGCTATCCCAAAAGCCCAATGATGTCCTTTTGGATCTTTGAAATACCCACTCCTGAGGTCATTTATGCCAGGGATGCATGGGGCCTATAGACCAGTCACAATGGAGTGTCTGTGCCATTCCTTCCTGGTCAAGCTCACTTCAGCTTGCAGTAGAGTCAGTTGTTAAGATCCCCCTGTCACCCCAAAAATAGAGATGGATTCTGCCCCTACATATCTCAGTGGCATCAAAGTACATTGTGCACCAGTGTCAACTAGAGCCTTATATCTTTGTGAGTCTGATGTGCCAGGCCGTTGGATCCACACAGTCCAATAGACCCGATTGTCCCTCTCCTCTACCTGGCTAGAGGCAGGGCACCCCTAGTCCTGGTCATGGTACTCGTTGCTCTCTTACCATAAATATGACCTGGAGGTCCCTTCGAGAGGATCACATATAACATCATCACTTCTATACTGTTTGGAGTCTTGACCATGAGAGACAGGAGCAGTGTTTATCCTTGAAGAGTTTCTTGTGGTACTTGTTCCTCTTTTCAATTCACGTACCTGGGCTGCTAAGGAAGAGGTGGATTTTCCATCCCACCTCCTCATATCTTCTCCATGCTCATGGAGGTAAAACCATAAATCTGGGGGAGTGCTGTTTACAAACAGAGAGGAGCTGGTGGGAGATATAGTGGTTGAAGGCCGCCTAGGAAATAGTGATCATGAAATAATAGAATTTTCAATACTCAGAGATTCAAGGAGAAACAACAATAAAACCTCTACGCTGGACTTCCGGAGGGCAGATTTTGACCTATTCAGAAGTCTAGTCCAGAGCATACCCTGGGAAACAACCCTTGAAAACAAGGGAGTCCAGGAGGGATGGATGTGCTTCAAACAGGAAGTTTTGAGTGCACAGGAACAGGCCATACCGGTGTGCCGAAAGGCAAGCCGGCGGGGAAGACAACCAGCCTGGTTAAACAGGGAGATTCTGAAGGAAATCAGGGATAAAAAGAGAGTTTATCGACTATGGAAGAGAGGGCTGGCTACTTACGAAGAATTCAGGAAGACAGCTAGATCATGCAGAAAGAAAATCAGGGATACAAAAGCGCAATTTGAAGTTAAATTGGCCACTTCTGTTAGGGATAACAAAAAGTCCTTCTATAAATACATTAATAACAAAAGGAGGGGCAAAGAAAACCTCCATTCTTTGATGGACTCGGAGGGAAACATAGTTAATAGAGATGAGGAGAAGGCTGAGGTACTTAACACCTACTTTGCCTCAGTTTTTACCAGTAAGACAGGTGGCCCTCAAGGCAACTGGCCTCTGGAATTGGTAGACAGAGAGAGGAAACCAAATAGCCCCCGTGTATTCCAGGAGGAAATAGTTAGTGACTTACTGAGCCATCTGGATCCTCACAAGTCTATGGGACCAGATGGGATCCATCCTAGGGTGATGAGGGAGCTGGTAGAAGAGCTTGCCAAGCCGCTCTCCATCCTTTACCAACAGTCCTGGCTCACTGGGGAGGTCCCACATGATTGGAAGTTGGCAAATATCGCCCCAATCCATAAAAAGGCTGCAAGGCTGACCCTGGTAACTACAGGCCTGTCAGCCTGACCTCGGTGCCTGGCAGAGTTATGGAACAGATCATCCTGTGTGCAATCACACAGCAGCTACAGGATGGACAAGGGATCAGACCCAGCCAGCACGGGTTTAGGAGGGGCAGATCCTGTTTGACCAACCTGATCTCCTTTTACGATCAGGTGACTCACCTGGTGGATGAGGGGAAGGCTGTGGATGTGGTCTGTCTGGACTTCAGCAAAGCCTTTGACACTGTCTCCCATAATATACTCCTGGAAAAGCTGGCAGCCCACGGCTTGGACAGGGGCACTCTGTGCTGGGTTAAGAAGTGGCTGGAGGGCCGGGCCCAGAGAGTGCTGGTGAACGGGGCTGCATCCAGCTGGCGGCCGGTCACCAGTGGTGTCCCCCAGGGATCAGTGCTGGGCCCAGTCCTGTTTAACATCTTTATCAATGATTTAGATGAGGGGATTGAGTCCATCATCAGCAAATTTGCTGATGACACCAAGTTGGGAGGGAGTGTCGACCTACCAGAAGGCAGGAGGGCTCTGCAGAGGAACCTGGATAGACTGGAGAGTTGGGCTGACTCCAATGGGATGAAGTTCAACCAGGCCAAGTGCTGGGTCCTGCACTTTGGCCACAACAACCCCTGCAGCGCTACAGGCTGGGCACAGAGTGGCTGGAGAGCAGCCAGGTGGAAAGGGACCTGGGGGTGCTGATTGACAGGAAGCTGAACATGAGCCAGCAGTGTGCCCAGGTGGCCAAGAAGGCCAATGGCATCCTGGCCTGCATCAAGAACAGTGTGGCCAGCAGGAGCAGGGAAGTGATCCTTCCCCTGTACTCTGTGTTGGTGAGACCGCACCTTGAGTATTGTGTTCAGCTCTGGGCCCCTCAGTTCAGGAAGGATATTGAGGTGCTGGAGCAGGTCCAGAGAAGAGCAACCAGGCTGGTGAAGGGACTTGAGCACAAGCCCTATGAGGAGAGGCTGAGGGAGCTGGGATTGTTTAGTCTAGAGGAGGTTCAGGGGTGACCTCATCACTCTCTGCAACTACCTGAAGGGAAGTTATAGCCAGGTGGGGGTTGGTCTCTTCTCCCAGGCAACCAACAACAGGACAAGGGGACATGGGCTCAAGCTCTGCCAGGGGAAGTTTAGGTTAGATGTTAGGAAGAAATTCTTTACAGAGAGGGTGATCAGGCATTGGAACGGCCTGCCCAGAGAGGTGGTGGATTCACCATCCCTGGAAGTTTTTAAAAAGAGATTGGACATGGCCCTTAGTGCCATGATATAGTAATTAGAGTTGGATCAGGGGTTGGACTTGATGATCTTGGAGGTCTTTTCCAACCCAATCTATTCTATGATTCTATGATTCTATAATTCTCTCTCCTTAGCTGGGGGATGCCTACTCCTGATAGCAGAGACTCTTGTTTACCCTGGCGAATTATGGAAGATCTCTTCCTTAATTTCCTCTCTTAGCTTCTGGTGGCCCTCTTCAGTCTTTTCTTCCCGGCTTTGGACACTTTCGGCCAGTTTTGATTCCACAGAGCAGATGTGGGCTTGTAGCACGCGTCATGACAAAACCCAGCTCACGAAGGGGTCCACACAAGTGCTGAGTTTGAAACAAATGAGCCTTTATTGAAGGAACATTCAGGAAAAAGGAGAGTGGTTTTCCATATAAGGTAAAAGGTAGGAGGGGATTATGCAAACTTGGGCATAAGGAGGAGGGTACAAAACCATAAGGGAAAATATGGGTGGAACATATGCAAATAGAGGAAACCTCTGCAACAACAGCCAATCAGAAAATAGGAATAAAGTTTATAACATTCTGAGGGGCAAACAATCTTAAAACTGGGTTTTGTAATTACCAACCACATATTAGAATATTAGAATATTTGTGTAAAAAATATAATAAAGTGGGACAAAATACACCACTGTAAATTGTCCTATGAAAGAAAGGCAAAAAGTCCACAGGAGAAAGTCCTTCAACCACAGAGGGAAATATGTCTGCACATGTCCCCTGAACAGAGGCATCAACCTAACAATAGGTTTAGCCACATTGTCTCTGTATTAAAGTCCTCAGCTGAGTCCTGCTATCTTCTCTCAGCTTTATTTGTTTTTCGGGTAGCACTCCTTCTTCCATAACTCATAGTCCTTCCACTGTATTTTGCCACCCCCGACAGGCTCGTAATGGGGCAGTGACAGAGTCTTCATAAATCCTGAGTTTACCAAGCAGTGCACACACCTTGTCCTCTCCCTCCCTCCATTGCAACATTGCTAAGTAGTGGGAATACATTTCTGGCCTGAGCTGTGCAAGCTCTAACCACATCTGGGATGTGCACTGTACACTGTCTGGACTTTTAGGGAATCTTTCGTCTTCTGAAAAGATTATCTCCAGTACGGCTAATTCTCTCAAGCATCGGATACCTTGTTCCATCATGTTCCATTGTCCTTGCTGCTCATGGAGGTCCTCCTTACAAAGATACCTCTCCCTCACACTTGACAACAGTCACTGCCTGAGGCTTAGAGTTTCCTGCCTTCTTACAATCCCCTGATCAATGACTACATCTCGAGACAGGGATCGCAGTTGCCTTGCTTTACTCCCATCTAGAATTGTATCATTAGCTGTGGCGTCCCAGATTTGGAGCAGCCATGTCAAAATGGACTCGTTTGCCTCGTTTGTCGCATGAACTCTCTCCGCAGCTCATGCAGATCACCCAGGTTAGGGACCGAGTGGATGATTTCTGGCTCTGTTTCTTCTGCTAAGCATAAAGGTCCTGCCTCTACCCTGTCATCCACTAAGCAAACTGATTTAGTCTTGGATTTTCTTTTCTGGACAGGAGTGACATGGTGCTGGTTAATTTGCTTTGTTTTACCTCTGGCTCAGCCATGGTTTGTGTGGACAAGGTGCCTGTTGATTTGCTTCTTTTCCCCTCGGGTTCAGCTCTGATTTGTGTGGACACAGTACCTACTGATTTGTTTCCTTTCTCCTCCTCCTGAAGGTGCTGTACCACACCAAGCAGCGACTGGTAGGCAGTGGCCAGGGCCCAGCATGTTGTCATAAGCTGCCCATCTCTGGACCTTCCTTCCACATATCTTACTACTCTAACAGGGTCCCGCAGTTGTTCAGGGATGAATTTCCAGATCATTGGAGGAGAGAAGCTCTCCAAATACTGGCCCATGTCCTCCCACTTCCTGTGCCACTCAGCATTATCCACTCCCAGAGCAGGCCTCCAGGCAACTTCCTTAGAAGCTGCCCTTGGCCAGTTCCTGCAAATGACCCATTATTAACAGTCCATCAGAAATGACATACAGGGTGTAGAATACACAGTTTTGGTTATACCCACATAGTAATAAACTGGTCCCAGTCCCTGTAACAAGGACAGCGGTTGAATTCCATCCATGGAAAATTTAATTTATCCCCAGAGGTGATTATAAGTACAGTGACATGGCTTGTTAGACTGCATTGAAGGATCTGTCCTGGATACTCAAAATCATAGGGAATTTTTAAACAGTCTTTTGCTGCCTTAATGGAAAATAATTATAATAATGAAGTTGTATGCTGAATTCTCTTGATCTCTTGAGAGTTTTAAAAAAGACATGACACTTACTTCACTAGATTTTTTTTTTTCCTCTTCATACCTCTTAGTGGTAACATTGTTTATCTACAGATAATGTAGAACTGATAAAAGAATGAGGAAGAAACTTCTTGATGTATATAAGTTTTAATTTTGAGAGAGTGTTATTTTCTGGATATATTTTTCTTCATTTTACTGTGAAATTGATTGCTTCAAGGAGTTTTTCATAGCTGGGATTTTGGAAATGATCCCTCAATATTTGTTTGGAAAAGAGGACTTGTGGAAGGCAAAGGTCACTTTTACAGCAAGTGTTGTATATTAGTGGCTGAATGGTACATTGTTTTTTTTTTTTTATTTATATGGAAAAGGCATCAGGTATCAAGTAGTTAGAAGATTTATCTTGTGACTGTAATAGTATAGCAGGAGATAACATGGTACGATACAAAGGCGGTCCTGTAGTGTCAAAAAATACCTCCAAATTCTCAGGTTCCAGAGCTTAATGTACATACTTCTGACCTCTCAGGAAGAAAAGAGGCTGGGTGGGGAATGGTAGGGTGCCTAGGAGCCGGAAGGGAGAACATGCCTGGGTGGAAATGTAAAGCAAACTGAATGTGAACTTCCGTCCAAACAGAAGTAACTGTGAAACTGGGCAGCACAATGGTTTAGCTGTGGGAGGGATTCACAATAGAACTGCTTTGGTGCGTTACCACCCTGGGAAAGAAAATGTATGGGTATAACCTGCCTGCCTCTTTTTACGTGGTCTGACTCTATGAAGACCAGAATGCCCACACTACAAAAGGCACAATTATCAAATATCTGAACATTTTTCATCTAATAATAAAAACATAATAATTAGATTATTTGCTTCACTATATTGCACTTTTATTGAGCATTCTCTGAAAAAAAGCAAAGAGATTCCTGCAGCACTTTGCCATATGAGAATGCTTATCTTGGAGGTCACTGGGACTGCTTGTATAATCTAGTGTTTGCAGGCTCAAGCTGTGTTTTTTGCAAAATGTTTTGAAAGATATCAGGAACATTACCCCAAATCTGTGGTTTGAAAAATAAATGTGAAGTCATTAGTTACAAAAATTACTATTCTTAGAAATTATGTTTTATTACTCCTTTTGGAAATTAAACTACAGCCTGCAGTAACATTAGCTTGTCTGATTCACTCTGTTAATGTTTGTATTAATATATTAAAACACCTCTGTTAATCCCTAGCAACACAACCCAATCTACATGCTTATTATGTATTTTATCTGAGTAGTCTTGAGTGTCAAACTGAGAGCTTTCATTATGACAAAATTACATTCCTGTGTACCTGAAGACAGCGTGTTAAGACTTCCACGGACTAATGCTGCTCTCACAAGTCAGTGGCAACTCAGTCTGGTACTTCAGTGATGACCCAAAATGCATACATAGGATGCAGTAGCCAGCTGTGCAGACAACTATGGAAGACATGGAAATCATACACAGGCTTGATTGGCCCTCTACCGAAGTGCTGGATGTCAGCCTCTTGAAACATAAGCATATAGATCTGTGGCTGTGGGTTTTTTTCAGTGGGAAGATCAGTGAAAACCAGCACATTTAAAATTTGATGATTACTTCTATAAATATTTAGGGCCAGTTCTGTTCGTTATTCATGCATATAATCACAGTGACTATTCCTGCAAGTAAAGAAGGCAGACTCAAATGTAGTGTCTGAAGTGGAATTTTTTTTTTAATGAATGACCAATTTTGTCTTGGCTCCTATTTCAGTGTGTCATTTATCTTGATTAAGTAGTAAATCTCTTCCATTGTGTTATTTAGGAATCTAATTCAGAATTCATATTTACAATATTTAAATTATCCTACTAAGCATGATGTTTTTGTGGGAATTTGCAAAAATTCAATAGCACTCGTTACTTGTTTGCAACAGAAATAGATTCATTTGTTAAAAGCTAACAAGAAAAGTTTGAAATGTAAAGATGTTTCATTATTGTGCTTTTCTGACAGAACCTGTAATCCTTGTGTAATTTATGTCCTCAGAATAACGCACCTGTATGTACGCTCTTTCATATTTAATAAAACATTGTTGTAAAAACATCTTTGAAATTATTGTTTATTGCTTGCTCACTCAATCTCATGGTGGGAAATGGCTTTTATGTAAATGCTTCCTATACTTAGTAGTCAGACAAGATCTCACAATGATGATGCTGAGGAAACAGTTGATAATAATTTTGAGGTTTATTACTCTCTGTATTCCATGTGACAATTTTCATTGAGGAAGCAGTGCATTAAAGGGTCTGAGGTCCTATCTCTAGAACTGTAAATTCTTAAAAATAAACTTATGCTCATATACCGTCTAGTTTAGCCGAAGTTTGCTGTTCTTCAGAGGTGGGTATGGGTATGAGGGAACCAGTTGGAATATGTCAGTTTGAGGCTCCCAATACTCAAAAAATGGGAAAGTGTTTCAAAATAAAACATGCTTTAGTTGAGCTGGTTACATTAAGACCCAGTAATATTTTTGATATGGTGTGATGCTATTACTGCCAATGATACACACACCATTGCCTAGATAGAATTTGTATGAGCTGGGAAATAACTCTCACTCTGTAATTAAATGTCTGTACGCAGGGCTGTATGTTTAACAGAGACCTTCGTGGTCTTGCTTTACAAAGTCTGGGTGAAGTTCTGCCCTCACTGAAAGCAGGGAGGGTGTTTCCTTTCTAGAGTTGTTCTTCCAGCTTGCTCTTCAAACACAAACCAGTAACATGGCCTGGCAGTGGTTTGGTGGGGAGGCTCAGCAATAGTCTCTTGCAGCCAGGAGTTAACCTTCAGTATTTCATTGAGTACAGGAATGTAATGTATTCTGAAGGGAAGAGTGCATGAGATGCATACATGTGTGTAATTTGTGCATATATGTATGCAGCTGATGTGTGTATATGTTTGTATATACCCATATACATTATGTATAGAGAGATGTGTGTCTGTGTTTTTGTGTTTATCAATATACCGGTTCTGTGAAAGTCCAGTAACATGAAAAGACTGTATTAAAGGCTTAGGAAGAACATAAAAGCACTGGAGGTCATTTTTACCCAGCATTTTGAAGCACACTTGTAAAACAAAGAAAGGCACATACTGAATGACCTTTTTCTCTTTTTTTCCCCGAATAAATCTTATAGCTCACAATAATGATCCCTTTTAACAACACAGCTGGACATACCTGACAACTCTGGTAATTCCAAAGAAAAAACATGTTGTTTGGAACAAGACAAGACTGTACTAATAAATAGCTTGATGCAGTAGTGATACATTTGGAGTGCAAAATAACTAGCTTCATGCCTGCCACTCACAATACACTTTTTAGAGACATCTAGTTTAGGCACCTATCCCGTGATCCTGTGGATAAATTGCCCAGTAGCTTTCTCAGCATGTCCATTGTGGCCCCCCTCATGTCTTTTATCCCTTATCTGTAGTTTTATCCAAAAGGAATGCACTCTTGAGACCACAAGGTGTTACATAAGAAGCACAGTAAAGAGGGACAATTGGGAGATGTGCTTTGATCTAACGTTAATGTTGGGGCACCTTAAAACACAGCAGATGCCCACTCTGGTTTCACATAAGCCTCATAGGAAGCACAGCAGTAGTGTAACTAATGTGTGTACTTTTAATAGGAAATTTTATTGCAAAACTTGTTTTTCCAAACACTTTTGTATAATGCACATTTTCCATCAACAAGATTGAAGTATTTTTCCAGAGGACTGGACCATAAATACAGCAACAGGTGAAGTAATGCCAAGTTCTACACTGGAAAAGGCATCACTCCAAGGTTTGTATTTTGATCAAAGAACGACAGTTAATTTGATCCTACGTGTACATAAGAGACAAACGGCAGTGAACCTTTTAGTTATTGTGCAAGTGTACAGGAGATACAAAAAGGTTACATGCCAATCTTCCAGACGGTAAGTACAGTTTACAACAAAGTATTCTCCCCTGCCCTGGATTGTTTTCCAGTCAGCCCACTTATTTGCTGGTCCAATTTTCTTAAGCACTGTTCATTGAGTCTGAAAACACTTAAAAGGGAACTAAGCATTATACTACAAATCCAAGAATGGAAATGTTTTTAACTGATTCATTCTCTTTTTCAGAGGAGAAATATGAAGAATTTACCACTGCAGACTGTAAGCAGGACAGGCTATAACCTCAGTCCTAAACAGTGACTTTCTATATACTGTCCTCTCTCATCTCTGTACCAAAGTTAAATTGAAAATCTGACACTGGAGACTGCTTTAATCTTGACAATCACCTTTTCCCATCAGAACAGCTTCTCTACTGTCCAGGGCAATGCTAGTTTTCCAGACTGAAGTCCAGAAAGGAAGCAACTCTGAAGCCTGACAAAACTGAAAGATATTTAAGAAAAAGGTTCTCAGAACTCAGTCATTTTCACGAGACAAAAGTGACCCATTTTGCTAGCACCAGAGCAACTGGAAGAGAAGTGTCCGCTGTTCTTTATGACTGTGCCACTCTTCTATCAGTAACTAATCAGGGTGCTGGTACCAGTCTAGTGTGGAGTTGTCAGTCAGTACTGGGAGCATTCCACATCCGAGTGCAGTTAGTGCACCCAAGGCTCTGTGTTATCATGGGACCCATATCAACTGCAGTCCAGATCATGGAGAAGCATCTTATGAAAATGAAGAAATTTCAATCTGTTGATAGTTTTCTCTCTCTGTATACGAGTGCTGTCTTAAAAAGCAAGTTATTTTTACCTTTGTAAAGGCTGTGCTTAAATTGCCACAGCTATCAAAATACAGCAACACTACAGAACACTACATTAGACCCTTGAAAATACTATACCTGAAGAAGGTCCCAGTGAGTGTGTGTCTTTGTTTTACTCAAACATTGCAAAGCAGGGTTAAGATTTTTTACATTCTGTTGGGATGAATTATCTTAAAAATAGTGGGACAGTGAAGGGGAGCAAACTGTGACCTCCCCATTCCCAAGTGGCTTTCTGGTCAGCCAACCTATGTCTTGGTCCTGGTGGATCCGCTGATCAATCTGATATCATCAGCTTCTTCAAAGGATAAATCCTGGCTTTTAATTCTTGGGTTATCAGAAACTGCAAAACACGTTCAAGGTCCCCAGGCATAATAGAGTGGCTGTGTTCTCATCTCCCTCTGGCAGACAATCACTCCCCTTTGAAACTGAGCTTGCCTCTAAAAAATATGATCTGTGCTTTTGCAGGGTGCAGGCTGTCAGCTTGAGTTTTAGACACACCACTTTGTTGATTTACTAAAACCGGAACAATATTTATTGCTATAATCTTTATTACTTTGAAATAATACAGAACTAAAGTAAAGTCAAGAAGGCCTTGAAATCTGCCTTCTGGCTTCTCTCTTTTTCTTCTAGATCGAGCATCTGTTTTAGCTTAGAAAAGTGAAATCTGGAGTTTCGGGGAGTTCTGGAAGCAGAGTTGCTTGTTGCCTGTCCAGATTCACGTGTTCTGAAAAACAAAAGACTCAAATGTCTTAAAGGTGAGAAATCAGAATTAACATAAAGTAACCGTGAAAGTTTACTTTCACATATATGTGAAAGTGTACTTTACTTTCATATATAATTTGGGTGAAAAAAATTCAAGGTAAGTAGTGTATTTTCATGTGAAAGCAGTCAGAAGTATAACTTTGTTATGCAAAATTTAAGACAGACATTTCACATTAATGACACCAACATAACTGAGCATTCTTTTGCACACAGTGGGTTTTCATGAGAATCTTTGATTTTAAAGGTTGGAAAGTTAACATTGATCTCAACCACACTTCTGAGAAAAACACTTAGTTATCAATTTAAAGTTTACTAAATGACTGATCTAAAATTATCAAGACATAATACACTCTACTTGGCAAAGTGCTTCTTTCAATAGGGGAGAAATAGGTACCTGGGAAGCGTTGAGGGACTGTTGCCTTTAGATCCCAACCTACTGGAGCTTACAGGTGTCATTTTCTTCGAAGATGGAATTTTTACATCTGGTGTCTTGAGGCTAGATTTCATACTTGGAGTGCCAGAATTTTGTGTCTTGGTTGACAGAAAATCCCTGCTTTCACCATAATGTCTTGTTGTTTTGTTGCATGATTTGCAAGTAACTAACTATGGAGAGAAGAAAAGAAATATCAAGCCTTCTTGATGCTATAAAGCCATTTTAAGAATTATTCAAAGTGTTCTCCAAATACCATGACACAAATTAAATATTTGCTTAAGTAAAACATGAGATATTGAAAAGTAACATATACTTTACAGCTAGTATTTTAATTCAGATTTCTTAAGCCAAACACTTCCTATGAGTTTATCTGGAAATTACTCCAATTCCCTGGCAACTAATTTCAGAAGACCTGTCACTCTGAACTTAAAATTGTACAGTGAAATACAGAGAACAACCCTGTCAAGACAGAAAGATGAAAGAGTAACTGAACTGGATATATGGTATCTTGGGCATGCAAGATACACTGAGTATAAAAGAGCACCCCTGTACATTAGAGGTACTTGTACTTAGCTAAAAAGCACGACACACCATATGATCTAAATTCATTAGCATATTGTACCCCTGATAAAGTCATATTGGACACTTTCCAGGGAGTCTTGAGATCCAAACTCCCAAAAACTGTCATCTGTTTAACCAGTAACATCAAGTCTCAGTGAACAAAGATGAGGGTTTCTATTAGGGCAAAAATACTACAATAAGGAGGATGTTCTGAACAAAGGGCACTTTCTCTTTTCTGCTCTCTGTTTACTTCTAGGCTGCAGGGAACTTCCAGCAGTGCAGTAAGTTGAGAGGTGCATCAGAACAGATAATGTCAGACAGTCACAGAGACTGTCAGATATTCCTGATATTCCTTACTGCCATGGTAACTACCCATATTAAGAGACATGAGAGTAATACAGCCAGACAACTTTCTGAGGCACACAATTACACTGACAGAGAAACAGTTACGTGATGTTTCTGGTTAAAAAACCATACTCAACAGACTGTCACAAAAATGTCTAAGCAGTTTTGAAAACATTTATACCAAATCATTCTTCATTTCAAAGTGTGTAAATTTAACTAAATTC